TTTGTGAAAATAAAAATTCAAAGTGGAAAGCAAAAGAATATAAGAGGGGCCTTGAGGACGTGACTAATGACTAGAGGAAATGTCATTTTAGTGCCAGGAATGTCTTTCTTGTTTATTCTGGACCCTATTCGGAAATTGGCATCTTTTGAAATTTGTGTGAAATTGGCAAAATTGCTAAATTCTGACCACTGTACTGGATAGTTGAATTTCATAAATGAGTGGTTTCTTGCACCCATTCGATAGAAAAAATGGAGTTCTAGCGAAAATATTCATGTTTTTTGTCGACTGTACAGTGAAATTGGCCGAAAATGGGGCTCAAAGTGGGCAAAATCGCCGATGCGTAAACATCGCCGAGACCGCTAACTTTGCGAGAGCATATTCCGTAAGTTTTCTATCAAATTTCAAACTTTTGGTGTCTTTATGATCGGGAAAAGATTCTCTATCTTTTCATAAGAGAAAATAATTTTTTTTTTTTTTTAAATTTGGCCGACCCTGAGAACGAGTTTCGGAGAGGGCCTGTCGACCCTCAAAGGGTTAAGGAGATGCTTGTCTCGGTAATTCTTACTGTTAATATCACATGTATTTTATCTTAACACTGAATGGAAGTGAATGACATGTACCTCAATCCTTTGTTTCTGTGCTAAAATAATTGTAGATCATTTGTAAGCTAGAATATATTAAATTGTTTTACTATAAAGATGTACAGAATTTTGTCTGAGGACATTCTGATGGTACAGTAAAATTTGCTGTGTCTGTAAACAAATTACACGAAGTTCCCAGGTTTCAAACATCAGCACTTACACGAGGGGCATTTAGGGCACAGTTAAAATGCAACACCTGCTGATACACAGTAGGTACGTGTAAAGCATAGCTGTTCTTTGGACTACTTATTTTTATATAAACAACTTGTTCATAAGCTGAAACACCATAGATGCATCATGTTACTGTGTGGCAAAACTACCAGAAATGCAGCTCATTTGTAAGCTACAACACCAGAAATGAATAATAAAAATTCATCTTATTTGTAAATTGAAGTTCTTCTTTTTCTGGACTTATCAAGTATCCTTAACCCTTTCAGGGTCCATGCCGTAGATCAACGGCTTTATGTTCAGGGTCCAAACCGTAGATCTACTCCATGAGCTCAGCCAACTCTGATAAGCTGTGAGCAGTAAATTTGGGCCTAGATATGAGAGAATACATCTATGTGGTATGTGTGCACCACATAAAACAAATCCTGCAGCACACACTGCATAATGAGAGAAAAAAAAAAAGACCATAATTTTTTATTAAAACAGCAACTTTGCAGCGTTTTTTTGTGATCTCATTTGATAGAATGGAAGATATATTACAGAAATAAATGTGATTTTGATTGGTTTTAGTACTGGAAATGGCTTGAAACTGAGCTCCAAGTTGCAGAAATGTTAAATTTTTGCCAATGTTCAAGAGTGAACAAATGACCTCACAAGTCTAATACATTCCAGCTGGTGGGTCTAATTTATATTCACGTGCTGATATTATTTATACAATTATTACAGTATTGCATAACAGTAAATCTTCTATTTTTTGGTTTGAATAAAAATTCATTATGTAAATAAAAAATCAAAATGGAATTCATTTGTAAAGCCCTGAAAATGTAACTAATGAACAGAGTAAATGTTAGTTTAGTGCCAGGAATGCTTGCATTGTTTATTCTGGACCCTATTTTGAAATTAGAATATTTTGAACTTTGCATTAAATTGGCCAAATTACCAATTTCCGGTCACTTTATTTTGTTGTTGATACAGTTGACTTGGCAATTTCTTGTGCTAAGTCGATAGAGTAGAAGTAATACTAGTGAAATAGCTAAGAATTTGGCTGACTGGAATACTGTAATTGGCCTAAAATGGGAGTCAAAGTCCGCAAAATCGCCGATGCATAAATATCACCGACATCAAAATTCGTGAGAGCATAATTTTGTCAATTTTCCATCAAATCTCATACTTTTTGTTTTATTACCTTCAGAAAAAGATTCTCTATGATTTCATAAGAAAAATTAACAAAATTATTTTTTGAAAATTCTTGGACCCTGGTGCGCACTTTGAAATTTGGCCTCTGGACCCTGAAAGGGTTAAATTGTAATTTTCAGTCTTGCATAATTTATGCAAAATTGCAAGTTTTAAATAAACTTTCATGGAGATGCAGCCACCAAACAAGCAGGCAAACCAGAATAAATTTGAATTTACTCCTGTAGGTCATAATACCATGGCTTTAACAATTCATTATTATTCCACAAATTGGAGATAAATCTTTAGTTACCATTTTGGTCTGCATTGGTAAACAGACATAAACAACTCTAAAAACATATTTATTACAGTTTTGTTTCACTTCCCAAGAGCTTATAAAGTTTGCCAGGAGCTTCATCAAGCTTGCCAGGAGCCTTGTCAAGTTTGCCATGAGCTTCATCAAACTTTCCAGGAACTTTGTCATGCTTGATAAAGTTCCTGGTGAGTGAAGCATAGCCATAATAAATGTCTCATTTGTTGCTCTTGTGTATGTTTGCTTTAGAGACTGTTGATAATTTTATCTGTGATTATAAAGTCACAACTGGGAGGAATGTGAAGTATTCCAGAATTTAGAATATTATTACTTTTATTACTTCTCTTATTTCTCTCAGGTGTGACTTCATAATTGTAAAGAACAAACCTACTAGAGTAAATGAATTTGGAGGATTGACTGTGGAAGTACTTTGTTAAGACCCAGTTTGCCTGGTCATGCTTTGATCATAAAGTATTGTTTGTAAACCTTAGGACACATGAATATACTCCAAAATAAATCTGTATAACAAAATATACTTAATATTGGTATACAGTACAGGTCTCCCTCAACATTCGCGAGGGTTAGGGGATCAAGAGCCTTGCGAATGTTGAAAAATCGCGAATGTTTGGTGCCCCAATATACTGTAGGGAAATATAATACAATACTGCTTCCTTAACTTGTTGAACCATGAACAATCATAAAATACATGAAAACATCGTAAATTGTACTGAACACATACATTCTTCTTTCTTTCAACACACCGACCGTATCCCACCAAGGCGGGGTGGCCCAAAAGTTTTGAAAAACGAAAGTTTCTCCTTTTACATTTAATAATATATACAGGAGAAGAGGTTACTAACCCCTTTCTCCCGGCATTTTAGTCGCCTCCTACAACACGCATGGCTTTCAGAGGAAGAATTCTGTTCCACTTCCCCATGGAGGTAAGAGAAAATAAACAAGAACAAGAACTAGTAAGAAAACAGAAGAAAACCCAGAGGGGTGTGTATATACATGCTTGTACATGTATGTGAAGTGTGACCTAAGTGTAAGTAGAAGTAGCAAGACGTACCTGAAACCTTGCATGTTTATGAGACAGAAAAATGGACACCAGCAATCCTACCATCATGTAAAACAATTACAGGCTTTTGTTTTACACTCACTTGGCAGGACGGTAGTACCTCCCTGGGCGGTTGCTGTTTACCAACCTACTTCCTAGGTAAATACATGTTATGGTTCAATAACATGTATGTTATTAAATGCCACTGCCTCCACCACTGCCTCCAACACTGCCTCCACCAATGCCTCCACCACTGCGAGTCCCTACTACCCTCCCTCCGACTCCCGCAACTGGCAGCCAGCCCACCCACCAGTGTGGCGAGTGTTTTGTATGTTCATTATTTGCTATTAAACTACAGTATAAATAATGTAAACCCATTCATGACTGCATATTGGAATGGCTATTCGGACAGGTATTGGACGTTGACATCGTGTGTTTACTCTTGAACACAGCAAAGAATCTAACATTTCTGCTACTGCTAATAATAATAATAATAATAATAATAATAATAAATACGATAGAATTGAAGAAGGAAATTGTACCAAAATACAAGGGAGTGGTTGACACATCGTCAGTGTGGCTTTGTTTATGCTGGAGTGAGCATTAGTCTCCCTGCTCTTCCAAACATTTCACAATAATTCATTGTGTTTGGTGCTTGTAGATTGAGTGCGACTGGAGTGGTAGAGGCAGTGGGTGAGGCAGCAGTTGAGGCTGCCTCAACCACTGCCTCACCCATTGCCTCACCCACTGCCTCACCCGCTGCCTCACCCGCTGCCTCACCCGCTGCCTCACCCGCTGCCTCACCCACTGCCTCAACCACTGCCTCAACCACTGCCTCAACCACTGCCTCACCCGCTGCCTCACCCGCTGCCTCACCCACTGCCTCAACCACTGCCTCAACCACTGCCTCAACCACTGCCTCAACCACTGCCTCACCCGCTGCCTCACCCACTGCCACGACCACTTCATCACCAACTGCCTCAACTGCTGCCTCAACTGCTTCCTCAACCACTGCCTCTACCACTCCAGTCACACTCAATCTACAAGCACCAAACACAGTGAATTATTGTGAAATGTTTGGAAGAGCACTGAGACTAATGCTCATTCCAGCATAAACAAAGCCACACTGACGATGTGTCAACCACTCCCTCGTATTTTTGTACAATTTCCTTCTTCAATTCTATCGTATTTATTATTATTATTGTTACTATTGTTATTATTAGCAGTAGCAGAAATGTTTGATTCTTTGCTGTGTTCAAGAGTAAACACATGATGTCACCGTCCAATACCTGTCCGAATAGCCATTCCAATATGCAGTCATGAATGGGTTTACATTATTTATACTGTAGCTTAATAGCAAATAATGAACAAACAAAATGCTCACCACACTGGTGGGTGGGCTGGCTGCCAGTTGCAGGGTTGGAGGGAGGGTAGTAGGGACTCGCATGTGGCGGGAATTTGGCGGTTGGGAATTCGCTGTGTGTGAAGCCCACGAAAGTTGAAAACGCGAATGTTGAGGGAGACCTGCACTGTATATGAATCATAAATATATAGAATAGAGGTAATGCAAGAAGCAGTATAAATGTCAGTGTGGTGTCAGTCAAGTTTGCTTTCAGGGTGTCACATTAATAAGATCTTATATTTGAAGGTTGTGTGTTCTTGGATGGTGTGAGTCGTGTTACTCGATTACCAGCCATTCAGGACAAGTCACAGGTCAGCTTTGCTGTGGAGAAAGTGTCTTCAACTAAATTCAGAGTATACATTGAGAGCCAAGAAAAGCAGGTATGCTGTAAATGCTTGAGAATCAATTTCTTAATTTTTATGGACATTTTGTGTGCTTTAAAGTTTGTGAATAATATTTAAGAATAATTTTTAAGTCAGAGTTCTTCTTGTTTTTCCAGGTGACTTATGAATGGGGTGTTCCTAGTGCACAAGAAGGTTTGTGGTTTGTCGGAACATTTGGTGAGGCACGATGGAAAATAAGTGTCCATTAGTAGGTATTTAAATAGTGTATATTAGATCTCAGTTAAGTTCATTGATGTCTATATAATTCCCCTGTGTTTTATGCTGTGGATCTTGCATGGCAAGTGTGTGTGTGTGTGTGTGTGTGTGTGTGTATTCTATATATGTACCATACATGTCAGACTCTTTTAAGCTGAACCTGTCAACTTGATTTATTTGGTAAGCATTGTTTGGCCTAACAAGCAGAGTGCAAATGCATTGTTGCAATAACTCAGTAAAAATAATTCTAGATAACCCAAAATTTATACATTCTATTAACAAATAATGTAATTTAAATTTGGGGTGACCTGAAGACTGGTTAGATTTTAGGCTAAATTATATTAATTTTAGCAAGATGAGGTGAGGTTGCTTATTTTTTATGAAAAACTCAATATCTATAGTAACTTTACACAAAATATCTATCAATAGAAAAAGAGAAAATTGTCAAATATTTTTTTATACCAGTTTGGCCTGTTTGAATGACTTCCTAAGAAAGCATGACATAGTAAGACTCCATATTCATGGGGGTTACTTTTATGCAAACCCACTATTAATGAAAGATTCTCACATGTACTACTGAAAACTAAAGCAGCATGTTAAGGTGTGTTGTAGACTTGTACCTGACAGTAATGTGTCACTCTTCAAGGGAAAGGCATTCCTTGATGCTAGTTAAGGGCTCTTGATCTAAGGAATTGGAACTACCCCTCCCCTTCCTCTGAGCAATCCTGATTGCTTTGCATCTCACAGGTGCTGTATGGCCCCCATGGGTTTAGGGTTTCCCCATGAAAGTAAGTGAATGCATCAGTTGTGCATTACTGGTGAATACTGCAGACTGCCTGCCTCACTTGGTACACTATAGTCCTGTTATGCATATACCTTAACAAGACAGATCATAGAATAGATAAGGAGGAAATGGTTTGTAGAGTTTGTCTAGTTTATGGAAAGAAAAGAGAAATACTATATCAAAGTATAGTGATACCAACAGTTTTTTATAGGTGCTAGACATGGTCTTTGAATGTTGCAGTAAGGCAGTGGCTGAAGGCAGCAGAGACATCATGGTTGAGGACAGTATACAGTGTAAACATTACACATCCAAAAGGAGTGAAAGATAGTTAAGAGAGTGGAAGACAGGTGTTGAGATGGTGTGGTCATTTAGAAAGGCTGGAGACTCATGAAAAGGGTATAAATCTTTGAGTGGAAGGAAGGAGGTATAAATGGTATCCCAGGAAAGGTTGGAAGGAAGGTGTGAATGATGTTTTCAGGTGGTAAGGGTTAGATAAGAGTAAGTATTAGACAAGTGCTTTATAGGATGTGATATGCTGTTGGAGTGTGAGCAAGAAACATTTAGGAAGGGATTCAGGGAAACCAGTTAGCTAGCCTCTTTTTTTTCTTCTTCTTTCAGAGTACAGGGCCTGCACTCTGAAAGCAGGGTGGGTTATTTTACATGTGATGCATGAACTTCTGGCAAGCTTGCTGGAGAATGAATGATGGTGAATGTAGTTTCTTCTTTGGGGTCACCCTGCCTTGGTGGAAAATTGCTAATGTGTTCAGAAAATATAGCTGGTATTCATTGTATACATAAAACTTACATTTTAGAATTGTTGATAAAAAAAAAGAGAATAGGTGGCCATGAAGACATGTGCCCTGTCCTGCTACCATAACCTGCCTTTGCCTTTCTGCCCATAACCTTCCCTGCAACACTTCTTGGCTTTATTTGTTTTATGTATACGTTAGTGTGTAGAAGGATAGGGGAAGTCACCACTATTACCCATGACTAAAGTGGAATACTGAAGTTTTTGTAGGTGGCCTCCATGAAAGGCTGGAGTTAGTGAATGAAGATGTAATGAATGCAGAGACTTCCCTGCAAATGAAGTATATGTAACACAGTATATATGTATGAAACTTATGTGCCTGTAACCTAGAAATACCAGAATAAGAATAGAGCATTATAGTTTTGCTTTAAGATCAAGAATATTTTTTTCTTGAAAATTCTGAAGTGATAAATACTTTGTAGAACAGATCTGAAACGTATAAAAATTATTTCATATACATGTATATTACATTAAGCAGATTATTCTTATGATAATAATATACAATAACATAGAAATCTTCAGCACGTACTGAATGGCTGTCAACCGCTAAACTAAGACCATAGAACACAAAGCAGAGTGAGCCTTTTTTTTTTATTTTATTAGAAGACATTTTACCCTATATAGGGCAAAATAGACTTGATAAAGCCCTGTTTAGGGAGAAATGTTATATAATAAAATGGCTTGCTCTTGTATGTATGTTTTATATTCCTACTTTGGCAAATGTCTAGGCCATTACGTAATATTGGAGTATAGACATTGTTCAGATGGGCTGATGCTATTACACTACAGTTTTATTTACATGTGGAGAAATTGCTCACTTTGACATATACAAATGGATTGTAAATATGAGTACATTTATATATTTACCATGTATCAGATAAGTTTAGATTTAAGACACAATAATAACCTTCAAATACAGTATACTGCAGTCAAACTATTTGGCATGAATTTTTTTTATTTAATTTACAACTTTGCTGTGCAACAGTGGAAAATTATTACAACAATGAATAATCAAATGTCAAAGTATGTATTTCACAACTTGAATTATGCCGTCATGAAAAATTAACATTTGTTATTTTATATTGCAACATAAAATTACTTGTGCACTACAATATGTTAAAGGATATTCATTTGAAAACTGCATTCATTAGATTCAATAATTTAGGCTAGTCCCACACCTGATAATAAATGTGTGTTTGTGCATGTGTAAAACCTGTCAGTTTATTTTGTTGAAGACCCAATAACATTATAGTTCTGTTAACTGTGTTTGAATGTCTTTATCTGCATTGTGTCTTGTTTTTCCCGTGAACCATCCCACACTTTGTGTTCTGATTTTATCATCATTATTATCTACATTTCTGATAACTGCCCTCTTAGCATACCCTTTCATTATACCTGTTTAATAAAATTTTCTGTGTAGGGTTTGATGAACCAAAGGGAATAACTTCTAGAAAATAACCCCAATTTACGCACACAGTGCGTAATGAGAAAATGACCGTGTTTTTGGTTTAAAACCATGACTTTGCACTGTATTTTCGTATGGTATTTATGGTTGTATTCTAGTTTTCCTGGTCTCATTTTATAGAATGGAAGACATATTACAGAAATTGAGATGATTTTGATTGGTTTCACAATGAAAAGTACCTTGAAATTGAGCTCAAAGTAGCAGAAATGTTCGATTTTTGCCGAAGTTCAAAAGTAAACAAATCATGCGACGCATCCAATACATGTCAACTGGTGAGTCTATTATTCTTTCACAAGTGCGCTGATAATATTTATACCATTTATACACAAATGCAGTAGTCTGCATAACAGTAAATCTTTTTTTTTTTTTTTGAGAATAAAAATTCAAAGTGGAAAGCAAAAGAAATGTAAGAGGGGCCTGGGGACGTGACTAATGAACAGAGGAAATGTTATTTTAGTGCCAGGAATGTCTGTCTTGTTTATTCTGGACCCTATTTGGAAATTGGCAAAATTGCTAATTAACCCTTTCAGGGTCCGTCCCGTAGATCTACGGCTTTGCGTTCAGTGTCCAAACCGTAGATCTACGTCATGAGCTCAGCTCACTCTGATAAACTGTGAGTGGTACACTTGGGCCTAGATATGAGAGAATACATCTATGTGGTATGTGTGCACCACATAAAACAAATCCTGCAGCACACTGTGTATAATGAGAGAAAAAAAACTGAAACCAAGATTTTTGATTAAAACAGCAAATTTGCAGTGTTTTTTCGTATGTTTTTTATAGTTGTATTTGCAATTTCTTGGTCTCATTTGATAGAATGGAAGACATATTACAGAAATAGAGATGATTTTGATTGGTTTTAGCACCGGAAATGGCTTGAAACTGAGCTCAAAGTAGCGGAAATGCTAAATTTTTGTCGATGTTCAAGAGTAAACAAACAACCTCACACGTCTAATACACGTCAGCTGGTGGATCTAATACACATTCACAAATGTGGTGATGATATTTATACAATTATTACAATATTGCATAACAGTAAATCTTCTATTTTTTGGTGTGAATAAAAATTCATTATGTAAATAAAAAATAAAAATGGGATTTATTTGTAAAGCCTCAAAATGTAACTAATGAACCGAGGAAATGTTAGTTTAGTGCCAGGAATGCCTACATTGTTTATTCTGGATGCTATTTTGAAATTGGAATATTTTGAACTTTGTGTTAAATTGGCCAAATTACCAATTTCCGATCACTTTATTTTGTAGTTGAAACAGTTGACTTGGCGATTTCTTGTGCTCAATCGATAGAATAGAAGTAATACTAGTAAAATAGCTAAGAATTTGGTCGACTGGAATGATGTAATTGGCCTAAAATGGAAGTCAAAGTCGGCAAAATCGCCGATTCGTAAATATCGCTGACACATCAAAATTCGCGAGAGCATAATTTCGTCAATTTTTCACCAAATTTCGTACTTTTTGTTTTATTACCTTCACAAAAAGATTCTCTACCATTTCATAAGAAAAAATAAAAATTTTTTTTTGGAAAATTCTTGGACACTGGTGCGTGACTTCAGATTTTGGCCTTGGACCCTGAAAGGGTTAATGACCACTTTATTGGATAGTTGAAATTGGTAACGATCATAATGACACTTTTGGTGTCATTATGATCAGGAGAAGATTCTCTATTTTTTCATAAAAAATTTTTTTTCCGAAAAATTTTCGACCCCGAGAACAAGTTTAGGAGAGGGCCTCTTGACCCTGAAAGGGTTAAATGGTCATTAGGTGAGTTACAGTGAGTACAGAGACTTGAGTATTAATAGGTAATGCTATATGACTTTAGTAGGTCTAGTAGAGAAGTTTATTAGTGAATAATTACAGTTTTGAATTACTTTATGAAAATTGCAGTATTACAATAGAACAATTTACAATATGAAGTACA